ATGTGATAGACCAGGGTACTGTGAGATCAGTGCGCATCGGGACTGTGCGTACGCTACAGCCTAGGTAAGTTTTAAAAATAATATATTTTATTATAAGGCAATTTCTTATGCGGTATTAAAAAGTTAGAATTTAACTATAGTTAACATGCTAATAAAGTTATATTTACAGCAGGGTCCACTTTAAACCCGGGTGAATGGTGTTTAACCCGGAATGTATTACTCGATTGGAGGCAATCGTTTTGAAAGTTGTCATCCGTTTTGTCGGGCATCGAGTTTCTTGCGAAACAAACTGTATTTATAAACAAAATTTCAAAAATAAAATTTTAAAATATTAAAAATAATTTAATAAGATATACCGGTTACATATAGTGTGAATACAAAAACAATTTTCGTGTACATTATTAATATTTGTATAGTTATAATATTTTATTATAAAAATAACTAAGCAAGTATTTTGTTGTATAGTAACTACAGCACAGAGTTACTGACTTTTATATAAAAAAATTATCGACAAAATTATCACATGTTGTTCAATGCATAATAGGACATTAATGGTACAAGATTAATTGATTTGAAACTTATTGTTTCTGAGTAAAATAATTTTATATCTAAACAAAAACATATGGTTTAGCTAGTATATTTACACATAAACTTAAACAATTGATTTTTGATAATTAATTAAATTAAGTTAATTAACAAGCTAGTTTACAAACAAATATAACAATAATATGTTTTTGAGTAAGTTTACGTAAATAATTGCAATAATTTATTGACGTACCGGATATAATAATTAACATGATTCATTTTTTAATAAGCAATAAGTAACTCATACGGTAAACATTAAATATAATATAAAAATACAGAAATAATTAAATCTAGTACACTTGGTAACAGTTATATATAATCTAAAATATTCATGGAAAATTATATTACAGGTTTGATATTTTAATCTTATCATAAATAAATCAATTTCACTTATTTGTTGTGTAATATTTATTTTGTAAGGTTTACATACTGTGCAAATATTATATATATAATTATGGTGACATTTGTATCTTATTTTTAATGTCCAGTTATATCAAACTTATAAAGTAATTTATATTTTTTATGAGTTTAAATTATATTCTCATGTGTATATCTATGTGTGTGTCCCGGTTTATTTTAGGTGTAAAGGTTAATTATATAAATAATTTATTATATCATTTTATTTACTACATTTACAGTATACACTTTATATATGTAATTTCAAAACTTTCTTTTATAATTAATAAGTTTATACAGCTGTTTGATTGTGAAATAACAAAATTTTTATATTGCTTAATTCAATGCAGTTGTAGAATTGATTTTTGTGAATGCTATGGTTATTTCCATACGTATTTAAATAATTAAATATTTTATTTTTTCAAATATGCCCTTATAATAAACTTAGAAATATTCTGTATAAACTAAAATTAAATTATTAATAAAATCACATTTAATGCTGCCGTATATTTTATACGCACGGTATTTTATATACTGAACTAGACATTAATTATTAAATTAATTATTGAACTTAAAACTAACATTAAAGGTCAATTAATTTTAATAATGGCAATTTATATATCATTATTATAATAATTAATATGTTTGGACAGGTAATTAAATATCAATTTAAAAACAAAATATGAATATAAAATTATCGAACTAATAGATAGCATGGTCAACCCAATCCACATACTAATAGTACCGCCAATATTATAATATAAGTCATTGTAATCCATAGCCAAGTGTTCAGTAATTTGTGGCTCAAAATAATGATTTGGTATTAAATTGATCTGGGTGTAATTCAGGTTAGACCTAACTTCCACTACATTAGACTCAATCATATTATTTACACAAAATCTTTTCTTAGGTTTTTTACAAGTCTTTTGTATTTCATAAATAACAGTTTGATTCACAGAATCCGTATAATTAGCGCAGAATTTATATCCAGAATATTCTAAATGTCGTTCAATACTAATATCATAACTGAGGCCAAGGAGTGGCACACAATTGAAAGTATTATTTAATTCAAACACTAAACAATTGTAAAATGAATTATCAAGGTAATCATAATTCTCATAAAACAAGTAGTCATCCCATAAGTGCCCACTTTCTATACATTGAAACGAATGCCTCTTTAACTGTCGCAACGATTTCGTACTAAACATGACATTAGTTTCGCTGTTTTCATCAATTAATGTAAGTATAGGCCTTTCGCTCGACTCCATCTCAAGCATATAGTATGGCTGTGATAGACGGCTCCTATACCTCAACACAATTCTCTCCAATCGGTGATCAATTAATTGTGTTTTAAATGTTGACATAAACTCATTGGTTATGTTTGCAAAATGATCATGCTGTAACCATGGTCGTTCAGAACTATCGTTTAACAATTTGATTTTATTCTCATGATCAGGACACTTTAGTGGCGACGAATTTGTAAACATAAAATAGCAATCGACAGCTTTATAGTCATAGAGTAGAGTGCGATATAAAGTCATATTATTTTCAGACATTATTTTATAATTAAGTTTTTGATAAAAATCAGATGAGAGAGATACATTTGAAGAATCTTGAAAATATTCCGGATAAAATTTAGCAATTTCTTTGTAAGGTTGAAACCTTGGAATTAGAGATACTTTAATCCTAGGCAGACTGATACTTGATATTAAATTAATTTTAAATTTAATGTTGTTTTGGCGATAATCTTGATAAATGTTATTAACCTGGTAAGACATTAATACAATACATATAATAAGCGTGGTACATTTAATATATTTTTCCAAATGAATTACTTTTTTAAAATCAATGTTCCATCTCTTAATTCGTTTTAATCTCCAAATAATAACTCTTATGATATCCACAGTTGTGGTGACAATGGTATAGACACTGAATCCCATCCACATCCCCATCAGTCCACCCATTGATGACAAATATGTAATTAAATCCATTTTTGGGCTATAATTCCAAATCATATTTACTTTTGTATTAATTAAATATAATATTTCTAAATTATTATCATTTGTCGGACTATAATAAAGATTAAATTTTGTTAAATAATTATAGCATTCAATTTGACACACTTTATATAATAATTTATAATCCGGTTTCACAACACATTCATTGATTGTATTATTAAGTATTAATTGACTTTCACTTTCAAATGTATGGGAACTCCAGAAGTGATTGTTTCCACACTTTTTGCGCTCAATTTGTTTCATCACTTCTAACATACAGTCGGCTCTAATTATAATAATGAAACAAATTCTATAATTACTGATATGTTGTTAACTCAGGTGTCGGCTCTGGATTTGTGGCCAACACTTGCCATACGATTGCTCTCATAGTCGTAACAGTCTGTCCGATAGGGTCCGGGCAACAGTAGCTGTAAATCCGTCTTAATATTAATTATATAAACGCCAAAATGCTTGTCCAATGTCAACATTTTAGTGAAATGTGAAGGACTGTATGGTAAATGTAGCCCAACCGCTACGCCATACATATTATTCAACGACACCTGAGTTAACAACATATCAGTAATTATAGAATTTGTTTCATTATTATAATCATTTAAAAACGTGAAACATATGACTGAGCGGTATTTATGTCTTAAATATACCGGTGCTGTTTGTAAACAGTTTTGTGTATCTGTTTTACAATTCATGCCAATATATTCAAAGTATTCACGAATTGTTTTATTTTTATAAACAGAATATTCTTTATTCACGCAAACAGTGACCGAAAGGTTTAGACTATAATCACCAGAATTGCGGTCAAACTTCAAGTCAGTGTTCACTTCGTACTCCAAATAATTGATTGTTTGGTCATATATTTGGTACACAAACCCTGTTATCATTAATAACTTAAATAATAATTTATAATTTAAATGACATTTATTATATAAATACATATTAAAACAATTTTGAAACTTTATTGCAGACTGAATGAATAATTTTTTTGCATGAATCTCATTCCACTATACTTTAAATGTTACAATAAATATGTTATCATACTATTATGTACTTGATACTGTAGTTGATATTTAATAGAAATATAATTAATATAAATACATTTTCTGAGTATAATTACTATAATAATTAATACTGTAACATGTATTGCATTAAGGTCATTTCTATATTATTTATAAGGTTATATTTTGTTACCATTAAAATGAAAAGACAATATTAATAATGTGTAATAACTACTAGCTTATTTTGTATCAAATTACTAATAATAATAAATTATTTATTTTTATGATTAAAAATATATTTCAAAATAGGAATAAACTAAATGATATGGGCAATATTAATATTTAATACATTTTACGTATATAACGATTGTTATATTTTAATTAATTTTCAAATTTTCAACACATGATTTTTTTGGTAATATTTTTCACATTTTATAGTGAAATGATAATTACACTCAAAACTTAAATAATCTTATTTAATAAATTACAATTGTTAACATGAATTTGCTTATAATATAATAATATTTTAATTATAAACCACTAGTATTATGGTTTCTGTAAAGGTTTGCTCAACTGAAATGTACTTTTTTATAATTTCACAAACAGTGTACATTCATTGTACACTATTAAAACACAGTGTACCAATACCCTAAATAGCGTAAAACAGTGTTATTAATGTTATTGATTACAGTACTGTTACAAAATAAGTTTGTAACAAACAAATTAATAATTTAAAACATGTATTATTAAGTACTTGTTCACTAATGAAACTTTATATCATTAATATAAATTCATTTTATAACCTATAGGGAGATGCTATTTAATTATATTGAATTATTTTTCAAGTATACAATTAAAAAATATATTATTATTATTATAGTATTATTATTAATTTTATACAAAATGAGCTTGTTGTTGCTAAGCAATATTAATATTGTTTTTCCATTTTAATTATAACAAAAAATAACCTTAATAATTAAATATTAATTATTAATAATACTCAGAAAATGCTTGCAATATTGCAATCAGTTTTCAATTATATACATCCAAAGTACACACAAACTATTTCCTGTGAATTAATACACTAATTCAAAACTATGCATTTGTCGTATCAGTTAACATTTGTATTAATTGCATATTAATTAAGGATTTATCTAATTTTTGATTGTTAATTTATAATTGCACTGCAATTTAATATTTAAATATAATGACAATATTAACCAAATTTGCATATTTATGAGTCTATTTGTAATAATATATTACGAAAATATATATGAAAATAGTTTAATTTAATGTTTTTTCATTGAAAATATAATGCAAAACAGGAATTTAATAAATGTCATGATATGAGTTTATAATATACAAAAAGATCAATCGATGAATAAAAATGAATGACTATTGATAAATAATTTGTGATGAATGTAAGCTAAGTTTGAAAAGTTTTATTAGTTTGAATGAGTAAACTCTGCTTTCACTGCAAAA